GGAGAGGTCAACATTTCATGTGGTTATTTGGTCCCGGCATCAAAAGTAAGTCAGTGAATGAATGTTGTTTTACGCAATGGTAGTAAATTACAGGTATAAAAACAGCGGCCTTGATATATCAAATCTGGATCAGACGAACCAGAGGATTATAGCATGACCAACGTCTCATCCGTGTCCGATTTCACAATGTTTTTTGTTTTGTTTGTTGCTTAACGCCGCACTCAACAGTATTCCAGCTATATGACGGCGGTCTGTAAATAATCGAGTCTGGACAAGATAATCCAGTGAATGATATCATGAGCATCGATCCACGCAATTGGGATACGATGACATGCATCAACCAAGTCAGCGAGCCTGACCACCCGATCTCTTTAGTCGGCCTGATTATTGACAGACCGCCCTCATATATTGCTGGAATATTGCTAAGTGCAAACAAACAAACAAGAAAGCAAGCAAACAAACTCAGATCTCCACAGGATTTGGGCTACTTTACACAGCACGAATCTTAAGGCAAATGTTTTCATTAAAGGACATTAACGTAAGGTTACCTGATTCCTTGGTATTCAAGGTAGCTGTAAGAGAATGTCGTTGGTTTGAACAGTATTTCAGTCGTACCTGATATGTCATCTGAATGTGGGGAAAGTCGAAAGAGACTTTGATACCAACCGGCACGGGAGGATGCAGACAAGGATCATAATCGAAGACTCGAACCCGTACTTAGCGGATCCTGGCACTGTTCCACAACTGGGTCAATCTAACCAACCTGCAACATGTCATTCATACTACAACACAACTATACAGACATTTGAAATACACAAAAGTTTCAAATAAATGATTATGCCTTGATTTGCTGCAATACAACTTGTTTTCCCAGCATACGTGCAAGCGAATCACATATCACCATTCGTCCTATTTATCTTGACAGTATGTGTTAAATGCAGAACATAAGGTGTGTGCATGTTTGTTAGAGGTATGGGGGCTCCACCCTTGTTTTCTTGGCATGGAATTCTTAAAAATCTCCTCCAGAAGTACGTGGGCACGAAGTCAGGCTAAAACATTCGGATCGGTGTGTTAAACGTTAGGATATCACCAACAGGGGTATCGGAAAATGCAAACTGTTCTGACATTTCCTACAGTTGTTCTGCGTGTTGGGACGTACCAATGTTTACAGTTAAATTTAGCTGCTGTTTATTGGCACTCTCAACCCCTGACTCATCGCTAACTATATTACACGGTCGTCATAGACAACATTTACCCCCCTAGCTACAATAGTACAGCAAGCTGGCTCCACTCTGTTCAGATGGGTTGAAGATGCCTGTGAAGATGGTGTACTTTCTTTGGAGTTGTTTCTGGTGGCCACGGGGCACTGGAGACCCAGACCCAAGGAGCCACTGCTCGCTGTGCTGAGTTGCGTCCCTTTAGCCGTACCAGGACACGCTACCTGGGTTCGACTCGCAGCTTCGCCTCGATTATGATCCTTGGTTTGTCAACGACTTACCGTTGGTTTAAGGGTAATACAAAGACCCAGGTCATTTTGCGATGTCCTGGGTGAGTCAGAACCAAGCCAACCAGTGGTTGATAACATGAATAAAGATCCACACCGTCGGGGTATGATAACATAGGTTATAGAACACATAGGTTACGACTGGCCAGAGGCCCACGAGATTTTCCCGATATCACCCAGTTCATCTTTTCGCGCAGACCTGGTATCGTCACTATTTGAAAGCGAGTCCTAAACACATGCTTATATAGTCGGAATCGTGCAATCGACCCTTTTTATTGGATTTCTTGTGATTTTTAAAAAAGTTATACGGAGGATAAGTGTTGGTGTGTTCGGATTGGTCCAAGCACCGTGTGGACTAGGGCTGGGACGGGGTACTCAGGTCGGGTGGGTCCTGAGTAGGACCCGGGTACCCGCAGGACTACCCGGACCCGTGGTTAGTCACATGATATATTGTTTAATGACAAACAACTCTTATGTTCGCATTTCTTTCTGGCGATGCACACATTCCTTTTGATTTGTATATGTTTGAGTAAGGATAAAGCTTCAGTCAACTTCAGTGAACGCATGATCTTATTGTTTGATACATGTGTGTATCTTCTTCTCTCCCTGTATCTAAATAGTTTTGGCCAGAGTTGCGGTAAAACAATTACCAATCAGATATTTGGTTCCCAATCTTGAGACTTGCAGTGGGTAGGTAGGGTCGGGTAATAGGGGGTCGGGTACCCGGGTAGTAAATTTGGACTCGTCCCAGCCCTAATGTGGCCGTACTAAAAAGTTGTGGTATGACGGCTGGTTTGGTCTGTACATTAGCTGAACAACTTTAACATCACTGTGCGTCTTTGACATAAAACAATGCGTTAAAAACGGGCTTCTCTTAATTGCCCGAACAGGTATCTCATAAAGATTCCCTTTTTTCTACTTAAAGCAGAGGTACTAAAGCCATGTTACCGTCACATTGCTAAACTAACACTAACACATAAAGTTTTTTATAGGTTAAATGAAAGTGATTCTTTAAAGGACCCCTCCAGTATTAAGGAGCCCCCAATTCTCTTAATCTCAGAGATGAAAGGGGGTGGGGAAGGCGGCTAGAGCTGAGAAGGGGTGGGAATAGAATGAGTGTGTTTTGTATTCAATGTGTTCTTGGGTCTGTCAGAGAGACTGGAACGTTATAGTCATCGTCATATTACTGTTACATTTGTTCGTCAATCATAGGAGGTGAGATTAAATGGGAGTTTAACGTCGCGTTCAAGATCATTGCACTTATATAGCGATGTGTGTGTGTGTGTGTGTGTGTGTGTGTGTGTGTGTGTGTGTGTGTGTGTGTGTGTGTGTGTGTGTGTGTGTGTGTGTGTGTGTGTGTGCGATAGCGTGGCTGCTTGTAATAGTCAGGACTGATGCTGATTTATAGTGCACTGAGATATCATGCTGCAGTTTTATATGAATACTCCACTAAGACACAGTAAGCTGACTCCGAGCGGACCAGTCTTTGTTTTAGCCCCTTAGAGCCGAGCGCCAGACAGGGTAACAACAAGTTCCACCCAGCTCGAATCTTCAGGTAGAAGTTAGATCTTTTAACGTCTTTTGGAATGACGCGGCCGGGGATCCAACCCCCGACTTCCTTCCTTCGGGCAGACGCTCTACCACTGGACCACGGTGGCAGTCATTAATCAAAGGAAATGTATTTGTATAAATGGAGAAGGCTCTTAACGAAAAACAAAGTCATTAAGAACAGTTTTATATGAAAAAGTCAATTATTTCAATACTCGTGTTTCTCAAACTTGTTATTGTTCAGCGGTTATATCCGGAAAGATATTCACAGATTTGACATAAGGAATATGTACACCCACAGAGGTAAGTAAATGTGATAATAGAATTTTTAAATAAATAAAATTAATAATTATGCTGATGATATGGACTACCCGATCAATCAGTGTTAGGTGTCGAGAATAAGCCACAAGTCCAGACGCCGTCAAGAGCACGATAGCCCGGCGCCTTACATTGTAAAAGTGCAAAAATGACTAATGCCTTCCAACACATCAACATATGACAATGAGTGATTGGGTTTGATTAAACCCCGCTTCGAACACTAGTTCAGCTACATCCCAGCGTGTCACATGGAGAAGGCCGTGAGGAAAGTCCGAAGTGATGCAAGTCTTAAAGCTTAGACATCACCGATGTCGTGAACCAAGAAACACGGGTACGGTGCTGACAGACATACACACGTCATCGGGGCAAACCGGCGTTCACACCCGCAATCATAGGTTCCTGGCGTGCCCAAGGGACGCAACATATTAGGAAGAAACGCCAATGAACTTAGTAATGCACCAAGTTACCGAGGTACCGCACATGATACATCAAACCTCATCGCCGTGAGACACGGCCCCTGCTGGGCTGTGCATAAACTTCAGAGGGGCCATCCCCGGTGCTGTGTCGGTATGCTAATTATCTGAACATTTAACAACCATCTGGAGAAGTTAACAGACATCTGAGGTAGCGAACATACTTCTGAGGCTGTGACGCAGTCAGCGGTCAACGGCTGACGAAATAAACCATCTCTCCGGAAACCCGACACCACTGGGATAAGATTATGACATGAAATGAAACAGTTTTTGACATGTTTTTAATTAAGTGAGAAACGTTATCTGTTTAAGAGGTTACTATTGATGTTTTGATATAGATGTTGAAGAAAAGTCGATATATATTCCTGTTGACGGATTCTAATGACATTGTCGTCGACTGCTGATTGATGGTGAACAGACAACAGTGTCTGTGGCATACTTTTTGTGGCTGCTTAAAAAAGTAGAATGGATGAAGACAAACAAAAGTGAGATTGGTGGAAGCTTTTCCGGAATATGATTGAGTGTGTGAGTTTGGTTTAACGGCAGTTTGAACAGTATTTCGATTATGTCACATCGTGTCAACTTGTCGTGGTGAGTGAGTGAGTTGGGTTTAACGCCGCTTGAACAGTATTCCAGTTATATCACAGCGTGTTACCTTGACGTGGGAGGAGAGCCCAAAGTGATGCAGGTCAAACCAAGAATCATAAACGGGCGAATTATTTGGGATATGAACTAATACCAGAGTATCCTGACGTGGATATGAGACATTAATCTGTCACCTGTGCCGTTACAGATAAAGCTTAACGAATTGTGCCTTATTTCGGAATTCATTATTTCACTTTGAAGAATCAATTTATATGTATCATTGCAACAGATTCCAAAGTAAAACTATTGCTGAAGTTAACCACTCCAAATTGAATATTAGCGTATTACTACTGTATTTTGTCTCATTGTGTGGGTGACGGTTGTTACCAGTAAGGCAGAAAATGCTTACATTTTTCGCGAACTCCTGTCATTATTTATTTTCAGTTATCCATTCATGTAATTATCAGCACTATTTTGCCTTTCACGCTACATGGAATCGGTTTCGGCGGATAACCGAGACTGGTTATTCTCTGGCGTTGACGTTTATATTAAATAATGAAAACCAACAAAAATTATTGCTACATATTTACTTCATATAAGATTAAATAAATAACTTTTCCTTTAAATACAAATAAATGTTAGATAATATCATAGCCCCACTTCGAACATCTAGCATCTCATGTTTTGTACATCTGTCTATATCACAGCAAAGTGTCAGCCACGAGGGTATCACATTCCGGAAGTGACGTTGGATTAGGGTTGTCTCCCTTTGTTTTGAAAATTCTCTGCCTTGGGTCAGTGTTTCTCGCCGAAACCACACCCGGTGCAACAGTATTCCGTGAGGTTCATCACATTTTGTCCACTTGCTAATATCCCATATACATGTATACACACAAGCTACTGTAAATAGTGCCTACTTTCAATTAACGGATAGAAACCAAAAAGAATGAATAGATAAATATAACGTAATTTTAAGATACGAAAGTTAAATACTGGCACACTATAGTAAATCTCCTAATTGATACCTGTGATACATAACCTGTCACTACTATATTGTGAGTATCCACCTGTAATTGTTGCCCTGCGAGATTTGGTCACATATCGAAAAGTCTCAGAGAATTTTCAAGGGAGTTCTTTAGTCAAGCAGGCGATTTGAGCAGATTCCCAAATCCGATATTGAATCCTGCCACAGCTAGTGCTTGTCGGACAAGTCAGAATCACTGTCACGTGACTTCTTTCCCTTTGAACCATGTTTACATTTAGGAGAAGACGGTGTCTTCTCAGGTTTCTCCTTCTTCTGTTTCGACTTTGCCTTGCTTTTCTTCTTTTCCTCCATCTCGTCCTCGTTATCATGCTGTATTGACATGATTCGCTGTCTCACGTACACAAACGGCCTGGACTTCTTCGGCAGGGGAGTTTCTTTCGGAGGTTCTGGTTTGGATTGCTTCTGGCGATATTTGGCAGCAGCTGCACTTGCACCAGGGCTAGAAACTGGAGGGGGTGCGTTCTTGGCTTCAGGCTCCTTCTTCTTCTTTGAGAGAAGTCTCTGCATGAATCCCATCCCTTTTTCTTTCTTCTGAGGAGGAAGTGGCTTTGGCACTTCATCCGCCGATTCCCCTGCTGATTCCTTACTGGTCTGTCTCTTTTCGCTAAAGTCTGTCTGAGGATCTGATGACGAAATATTGGAGGGAGTCAGGGAAAGGGTGGCAGAATCTCCTGATGCAGCAGACATGTAAGAGGATGTTGATATGTCAGAACAGGAGGAAGGGGTCCTGGTCTCACAGATAGCCGGAAGCGATGGCCTCTGTTGGGGTTTGGCTGTTTTCTGGGCTTGGGAATAGAGTTCTGGTTGAGGAGAAGGCTGAGGGTCACCTTGAGATGCTTTGACTGGAATCTTACTAGGAGATGTTCCTCTATGTTGATTGTTCTGGGAAACCTTTTTCATATCCTGTAGTTTCTGTGTGGGAACAGTGGCTATTCTACCCGGGGCGGAGTTGTATCTGAGAAGAGGTAGACGGCTGGTAGGCGACTGACTCCCAAGGCGAACAGTCGAAGGACAGTCGACTGAAAACTGTCTGGGTAAACTTTGTGTCCTATAACCAACATTATCCTTGGATTTGTTTTGCCCACGCCCTTTCAAAGTAGTGATCGGCTGTGGCTTCCTCACTGGGGATCTTTCATTTCGGATGTGCTTAAGTTTATTCGGATCCTGATCCTGGTGGGGATGCTCCTTTGGTTTGAGTATAGCTTTTGTTTCCGCCAGCAGCAGCTGGAGCTGTTTCCGTCTTTCGTCCTCACTCGGTGACACTGGTGACATCTTGCCATCTTTACAACTTCCTGTACTGTCGACCATCACAGTGGGAGAACTCTGTCCTGAGGAATCAGAACCTCTGGTCCGACTGAGAAACGATTTCCCGAAAAACACGTCACCCTCACAGCCACGAAGCGTAGGGCTGTTCAGTTTCTCAGATACATTTCTAAGCTTAGATATGCACTGTGTTATTCTTCCATCAGGAGCAGCAGGGTCGGTTTCTGTAGACACGTCATGTCTCTCAGCCCTCGCTGTCATTGTGTCCTTGTCTTCAACCCTAATTTTAGGAATTATGTTTTTTTGTGAGGTAGAACCTCCAAATTTACTATCAGCAATCTGTTTGGTCTGACTAAATGTACTGGTTGCTTTGTCAGTCTTCGCAACGTAGAATGTCATGGTCCCTTTGGAGAATAAGTGTCGTATAGGGGTAGATGTCTCTTTCTCGAATGTCATTTTAGATACTGTGTTCACACCAACACTGACCGAGTGCCCGAGTGGCTCTTCGCGTCTCTTCTGGGGTGGGCTACTGTCAGGGGGCGAGGCAAGAACAAGAGTTTGAGTTCCTGCTTCAGCTATTTCAAACGAGTCAGTCCATGTTTCACTGTCCACCATCTCAACATCTTCTTCATCAGTAGTCAGATCATCGAGCATGAAGTCAAAGTGGGCTTCGGGAACAACGATAATATCATCGACATCTATCTCACTCAGCAAGCCTATATATGGTAATGATTCTGTTGAGGTTGCAGCATCTCTGCTCTCACATCTCAGTTGATTCTCAAAGTCTTCAAAGTCAGTGGATGTTGATACACATTTGTCATAGAGGGTGATGGTGGATGTTTGGGTTTCACAATCAGTCACATCAAACGTATTTGATATTATGGATAAGGCCATTGTTCCGACATCTTGAGTCAAGGGCATCTGAGGCATTGTGCAACTATCTGCGAAATGTTTCTCCTCCATAAACAGAGACTGGTGTTCACATATAGCACAGTCTATCTTACTTATATCTGTCTGAACTTCCTGAACCACTGACATCTTTTTGCCACTTAACAATTCACGGTCTGGTGTTACCTGAGTTTCCTTGCATTCCGTCTCTGGTTTGTCATAGACAAGGATCTCAGTTGTCATGGACCCTTCATCATGGAGTTTGATGATGTCTGTTGACGTCTCGGAGTCTTCAGTCTTTATCTCCACACCTGTCTGGGCGTCGGTCATCACAAGTCTCTCGGTCAGTGTCTCATTGTCAGCAACTGTGATAATGGTTTCAGTGCCATTATCCCGCATGGTCACAACCTCGGTGTAAGTTGCAGACTCCATGGTGATCACTGGGTTCGTACACACGCCCATTTCTATGGTAGCAGGACGTGGAGGGGAGACACCGGTGTTGATCATCTGAGGCTGGGGGGTGGTGGTCCACTGGTCGACAAAGTGTACGCGAGGTGTCCCCGTCTCCTTGTCACTGGTCTTCACGTCTAATGTTTCTGTACTTACACACGATGTTAGTACATGTATATCACATGTTTCGGTGGTCTTTGTCTCCCGTTCTACACACTCAGTCCCAACATTCATGTCATGGCATGGCGCTCGTTCAACACTGACACTACTTCCACGTCTCGATGACGGAAGATCAGTTACAGTCGCAACAGACTGGGTAACAGTTTTAGTATCTCCATTAAGCTCTTTAACAGGACTTGTTCTTGAATCTTTCGTATAGGGTTTTGTCTGTATCTCCTTATCATGGATCATAGTTTTCATTGTGTTGGTTGCCTTCAGTCTACTCTCAGGACTTGCCTGTGTAGTCTTATCACCCTGGTTCACTTTCCCTGTTGAGGTAGCACGGTCAGAGGTATTTACACAGGTTGTAATTGTTGCTCTCTCAGAAGTGGACAGCTTCTCTGTCCAAGTCCCCTTAGTCTCAAGGCGAACTGGTGGCATGGTGGTTTCCGTGTCCACACAGTTGACTTTCTCTGTCCATGTGACTTTACTTGCCTGCCCACTATAGTCAGTTCCTATACCAGTATCACGTCGCCGCACCCTGAGTGTTTGCGTGTTAATTGTCTTAGCATCTGGCACTGCCATTGTGAACGTGTCTTTCATAACTACCAGATCTGATGACGTTTCTTTTTCTAACATCTCTGGTATAACTCTAACAGGATATATGGTGTTCACTTCCACGTCAACTTTTTCAACTGGTGCCTGTCGATTTTGTTCCCGTTCTCGCCTCGTCGATCTCCAATCACTCGCATATCCACGAGCAGACAGGGAGCTAATAACGTCATCATCCGAGTTAATTCCTATTGAAGATATCTCTGTCTGGATCTTTCTACTACGTATGGATGTTTTGGGGGATGATATCGCCGCGTCTACTCTTCCTGATAAGCCACCAGTGGCACTTGACGGTTTGATGGCCGACCTATTACCCCTTCCTGACGCAGAGGCGCTAACATCTCGGCTAGGCTCGTCGACTGGCATGGTCTGGATGTACTGATCATACACAATCATCTTCTCCGTCTGAGTTTTCAGTGATCTCGAATCCATTATGGAAGTCATGGTCCCTTTTGTTTTGGAATCGTAGCAGTAAACATTGACACCCCTGTCCCTCATTTCCGGAATCTCGGTACACGTTTCCCGTGACGAATGCTCGACTCTATCTGTTTGAACTTCACCATCAACAACTTTCCTTGTCACGTCAGAGGACATTGTTGTGGCACTGTCAACCACTGTCCGAATCTGGTCCACTTCCGTCTGTGTTTGCTGACATTTGCTCTCCATGAAGTCGTCTTCCACACCGTTGACATCAGAGCCGTTTGACACTGAAATATACCCCAGTCTTACATCCCCCGGAACAAAATTAACCTGAGTCATCATGTCACTAGGTACACTGGGAAGATTGGGCTCCAGTAACAACGACATCTTCTGCTGAATCTCCTTCTTCAGCAACAGCATCTCAACACCTTTGTCCTTCATGATTATCTGTGTCAAGTTACATGTACTTTGCAGGTTCTCGTAATTCTCCTGCAGCCAGTTTTTGTTCTCAATGAATTGCAGTACATTGTCACCAACCAAATCGTCAATCTTTTTCAGAAGTTCTCTTTCTGTTGAACGCACTTTGGAAATGTAACTAATAGCTAGATCACGAATCCGTTCCCGGATTTCTTTTATAACACTTTCATATTTTTCAATCACTTTCAGCCTTTGTCCCGTCTCCCCCATCCTACCTTTGCACTGCTGGAGCAGTGTGTCAAGTGCCGCCTTATATTTCTCGAACCCGTCGCTGAAGCAACACACCTCGTGATCCCGGTGATCTTGAAACGTGCAGACCACACATATACATTTCTCACATGGCTCACAATAAAACCGTACAATCTCCTCTGGATGACTCTTACATTCAATATCCTTCTCACCCTCAATGTCAATTAAACTATGCTTCTGGGTAACCTTGGTTGTCATATGAAGATCCACACAATTTTTACATAATAACTTGCTACAATCCAGACATTTGGAACATGCCTCGTTCCTCCGAGGTCGGACCGTGTGACATATTTCACACGGGGGAACCTTACAACGCGTACGCTTCTGCACCACCTCGGTTAAGTTTGACACAAGGAAATTGTCTTGTAACCTCCTAACTCCGCCGCTCGGTATCTCGGTCTTCTGTCGACACAGAGGACAGGTGATGTAACGGCTGTACACACCGTACCGCGACGGTCGTGTCGAATCCGCGTCAATCTGTTTCTGTAAACACCCAGAGCAGAACGTGTGTAAACACACAAGGGTCTTCGGCTCCTTAAACGTCTCCAAACAAATCTTGCAGATCAGAAACTGATCGCTGATCTCCTTCATTAGTTTTGTGCCCGTAGCCATGGTGTGGGTGTAGCTCAAACAAGGCTGTTTATTTTAGGAAGGTTTCGTAACCCTGCTTCTAAGCCCTATCTGTTGATGATAATAGCACTTGTGCTTTACTCCCGGGGTTCCATCACAGGCGGAGTAAATCCATGCAAAATACTTTCACGATTCAATAATATCATTTGTAGGATACAAAACAAATGGTCATACCTGTTTCACAGATATACCTTCACTTTCCCCACTGTGGCTCCGATATTGAAAACAAGTGTGAATCAATTATACATTCGACACCTTCTGTTCACAGATTAGCATGAAGAGGTGTACTCACAAGCACTTTTCTCTCTTCATAAAGTGAAGATTTCCCCGCCAGTGTTTGATAGCGTGTCTCGGTATAGTAGTAGGTAGTTTTATACACGATTATTTTTACGTGTCGGGTTCCGTCGACTGCAGCAGGCAGAACAGCTGATAAGGGCTGTGAGGTCTTCAACAACTTGTAATGAATTTAACAGCTCGGCTGGAGTAGGTAACATGACATAATGTAGAAATGTTGCCGTTATCCGCACACTGCCTACAGCCTACAGCCTACAGCATACAGCATACAGCGGGGGGCCTACAGTGGGGGTTTTCAGCCACCTTTATGGTAATAACCGAGTCGGCCGAGCGAGTCCGTTAACGCTCACTTCCGAGTGCTGTGCTAGCATTGTTCGTATCACCTTCACAAGCAGCATCGAACATCTGGAAACGTTCTTCTGCTCGGTCGAGCTGGTATGGAAAGGCAATCCACAGAAATCAAAATCTCTCCATGTTAGTCGAATTATACCTCGTGAGAAAGTTCCTCTTGCTAATTATCCTGCATGGCATGCTACTGAGCATTCAATACTGCATGGTTGTAATCACTAGCTCTCGCTCACTCGGAGACCTTGAGATCCTGCCATCGTGGTTTCGCTGATCTGTGAAAGAGATAACCCGTGTTTTAGTTATTTAAAGAAATAATACCGTCTTCAGCTTCTACTCTGATTTGTGAGTATTTTCAATATCTAATTTCATAACGGTGAAGAGAATTATCAATGCGACTTAGATTAAGCGGCGGTGATAACATCAATGTAAACATACGATGGATAATGCAAAGGTACAAAACACCTGTGAAAACATTATATTTACCTGACACACAATCGCACCACCGGCGTTTTTGCAATCAATACATACAGCCGTTGGTAACAGAGTACTAGTTGGTGCGTTATATTACAGCAAATCAGCAGATACATCCAATAAATCCAATTCGCGTTGTCATTATCTTGGAAATACCCTTCCCCTTGGCACACCAGGTCCTTGAATATCGTGCTCCAATGGCAATACAGCCTTCAAAAGCCTTCACGTCCAGTCTTTTAATACCTGTAGCGTCCACTAAGTCAATAGTTGGCCGAAATGTGTACTCAGCCACGTTACTGAGTGACCAGGCTTAACGGACTAGAGGGACACGTAACAACCTGCACTGACCAGCTAACACTGTCTGCATCCTGGGTCGGCACGATAGGCACAGGAATGTTAGAACTTCTCACGGAAACAGAAGCTTGGTTGTGTTCTCGCTGGCTACAGATAGTGGTACTTGTGTTCTGGAACCCCTCACGCCGGCTTCATGATATATTAATCTCCCTTCCTCTCCTCATATTTCCGTATCAGCTTTTTTGCAAACGCTGAGGAGTCTTTTTATGCGTTGTCACTTTGTAATCCATTTATAAGATAGTCCATTGTAGTCAGCGGCCGATTCCGGGAAATTCATGAATGATAAATGGCACAAGGGATATCCTAGGATCTACATTATCCCCCGCGTGAACGAACCACCGTCTTCCTGCGTCGGGGTTTGGCCCGTGTGTGTCTGTATGCATCCGAATCGGCACCTTTCCATTGATAAACCACTCCGATCGCTGTCAGAGTCAACATCCCATCTCCACGTGCTGTGACGTCATTCTCTCGCGCGTTCTCACAGACGCTCCCTTGCTCCCTTGGCCCCCGTCGTGGTATGCTGTATGCTGTAGAAAACCTTAGCCGTGCAGACTGTTGACTAGATAGGCACCATCCCCGAGGCTTCAAAAATGACACATGCACGTTCATGACACAAAAAGAAAGCATCGCGTTTCTTTTTATTCTTAAGGGCGCCTCGCTTGGTGGATATTCAAGTGCGCGCAACCTTTCGTATAAAGAACAAAAAAATGTTTGTTTTATTTTAACGCTTGTAGTTTTAAGTTGTAAATAACTTGTAGAGCTCGGCTGTTATCGGCTCCCGTGACGGGTTTGTGATATGTCATCGCTGGATTCCCAGTAACCTTCGCAACGAGAATCACCAGACCTGGCTTACTGACGCTTGTCTATCGGGAACTAACCTACATAATCAAATTGTACACAAACAGATTGAAGATTGCAGACATGTAGATTTGGCAGTGCTGAGTTAAAGACAGAGTCATGATTATGGTGAAGGTCCTTGGTTGTTTGGTTTAACCGATTTCTTTTTTACTTAATGTGTTCAACTGTGGGACAACATAAACAGTTCTCCTAACGTAAACGGCGTGTAATCACAGGATAATTTTTTAAAGTAATATCAAAAGTAATTTGGGAAAGGAATTTAATCTAGATATAATGCGTGGTATATGGCGTGTTGCTCCAATTGTTATGCATTGGGCAAACACGCCATTATACGTCAAGCAGCGTCGTCATAAATTTACGTATGTCTGCATTTTGTGTTGCATTTTGTTAAAACAAGAAGTTATCTCTGGTACACAGTGTCCTCGTATACGTGATATATCTTATGCAGTGTAAGATACTGTCTCTGCCGCGGTCATGTTCACGTATTTGTGACGTACGTACGTATATCATTTGGATACGTATGGTTATACGCATCAATGTGCATATGTCATTACACCTCGCATATATACTACTCAAAGAAATTAAAGAACACCCGATTAGTTCATAATACTATGGTATTTCTGGCATGACAGATTAACTCGAGTAATATGAAAGAATCGGGTGTTCGCATTAACTATGACATATGACAGATTAATTAGAGTAATATGAAAGAATCGGATGTTCACATTAACTATGGCATATGACAGATTAATCAGAGTAATATGAAAGAATCGGGTGTTTACATTAACTATGGCATATGACAGATTAACTCGAGTAATATGAAAGAATCAGATGTCTTTAACTTCTTTTGAGTAGTTTATATTTTTTCAATATGAAACTGAAAAAGCATGGGTAGCGACATTGTGTAAGTGCTACGATAGTGTTTGCAACTGAGGATAGAAATTATTAACATATGTTATATACACTGCTCAGGATTAGGATGGTGGCGCGAAAATAAATAATAACTATGCTACGACTTTCATAATTCACTATTTTAATATTCTTTTCAAAATGTGAAAATAACCTCACTCACTCACTCTGCGGTCTAATATGTTATCAGATATAATCGTGACACACCATCGACTGATTGTGTGAACACCCACCCAGGCTGTCGGTTTTGATTGGTACGGGTACTGGTAATGGCTGATAGCCCTCTTCCCTTGGGGGTCCTCCAATCAAAAACTGTCTGCACTAACCAGACATACTGACCATCCAATTCTCGTTACCGTCGTCTCATGTCAAACGTTGTACAAGAGTTTATGTTCCTGGGAACACCAACGGTGTAGTATCCTGAGTCTGTATCCTTGGCTTTACCCACAGCAGAGCACTGTGTCCATCCAACAATACATAGAACACGTTATACATCGAACACGATACACAACACAGTACACAAAATACAACATATACAATATACAATACAAAGGATACAATAAACAGCACACAGTGCATATAACATTATGCATGGAACACAATTCATACAACACAACACATAGAACACAATGCATAGAACACAATTTACGGACACAATACATAGAACACTATGCACAGAACACACTGCATGGAACACAATACATACAACACAACACACGGAACACAATGCATAGAACACAATGTACGAACACAATACATACAACACAACACATAGAACACAATGCATAGAACACAATGCATAGAACACAATACATACAACACAACACATGGAACACAATGCATAGAACACAATGTACGAACACAATACATACAGCACAACACATAGAACACAATACATAGAACACAATGCATAGGACACAATACATAGAACACAATGCATAGAACACAACACACAGAACACAATGCATGGAACACAATACATACAACACAACACATGGAACACAATGCATAGAACACAATGTACGAACACAATGCATAGAACACAATGCATAGAACACAACACATAGAACACAATTTACGAACACAATACATACAACACAACACATGGAACACAATTTACGAACACAATACATAGAACACAACACATAGAACACAATGCATAGAACACAATGCATAGAACACAATGCATTGAACACAATACATAGAACACTATGCACAGAACACAATGCATAGAACACAATGCATTGAACACAATGCATAGAACACAATACATAGAACACAATGCACAGAACACAATGCATAGAACACAATACATAGAACACAATGCATAGAATATTATACATGGAACACAATACATAGCACACAATACACAGAACACAATGCATAGCACACAATGAATGAAACACAAAACACAAGAGGCAACATCGAACACAATACACAGCACACGATACACAATACATAGAACACAATACATGGAACACAATGTATCGACACAATACATAGAACACTATGCATAGAACACAATGTATGGACACTATGCATAGAACACAATGCATGGAACACAATGTATGGACACTATGCATAGAACACAATGCATAGAACACAATGCATAGAACACAATACATAGAACACTATGCACAGAACACAATGCATAGAACACAATACATAGAACACAATTTACGAACACAATACATAGAACACAACACATAGAACACAATGCATTGAACACAATGCACAGAACACAATACATAGAACACTATGCACAGAACACAATGCATAGAACACAATACATAGAACACAATGCATAGAACACTATACATAGAACACAATACATAGAACACAATGTATGGACACAATACATAGAACACAATACATACAACACAATGTATTGACACAATACATAGAACACAATACATAGAACACAATACATAGAACACAATGCATAGAACACAATGCATAGAACACAATACATAGAACACTATGCACAGAACACAATGCATAGAACACAATACATAGAACACAATTTACTAACACAATACATAGAACACAACACATAGAACACAATGCATTGAACACAATGCATAGAACACAATACATAGAACACTATGCACAGAACACAATGCATAGAACACAACACATAGAACACAATTTACGAACACAATACATAGAACACAACACATAGAACACAATGCATTGAACACAATGCATAGAACACAACACATAAAACACTATGCACAGAACACAATGCATAGAACACAATGCATAGAACACTATACATAGAATACAATGCATAGAACACAATGTATGGACACAATACATAGAACACAATGTATGGACACAATAAATAGAACACAATGTATGGACACAATACATAGAACACAATGTATGGACACTATGCATAGAACACAATGGAGAGAAAACACAACACACAATCAATATACAAATACTACAGTAAAGTAGACTTGCCAAGTAATATAGACTTGCATGGGCTGTATTGGATATATTTGTACTAGGTCTGTTAGACAGACTAACACAAATACACAACACACAGAGCAGACCGAAATACACAGCAACAATCACCAACATCTCGGACATAAGACTCCCCCAACAGAGCGTGTCCGCCAAACACTCTTCAACACACTGACCGTCACTCTCGACAATACTGCCATAGTCATGTGGCTGACGACCACTGTGATAACTGCTTCTGACAATCGCCCCACCACTTCGTCTTGTAAGCCCGTCTTCCGGCATGTCTGGAGAAAAGCACAAATTCTTCTTACGTCGGGCAAATTACCCAATTAGTCGCGTAAATCTACAAGGGTTGGCCATACCGTCCCCCGCTGTACTATTATAGGGGAAAGATAAGTCCCGCACGTCCAAAGATGCTGATGAGATTCTTTCATCGTCTCAGCTTATTAAATTTGTGTTCTGGAATATATAGCTCTGTCTGGCTGTGTACAGACCTACATGTATCTCCGCCTGAAATCGGCAATTATTTATCTGGAATAAAACAGAAAACAGACCTCTTTTGTGAAAGAAACGTATTTTTGAATCCATTACTTTCAGGTGGAAAGTCAGTCAAGTGGTCAATACGTTACAGTATATCGTCACATGCATGTATAATACCTCTGTCTGCATTAGTATTTAGTGACATTTAGTCATTTACTGTATAGTGTTTTGTTTGTTCGTAGTTTGACGCCGCACTCAGCAATATTCCAGCTATATGACGGTGGTCTGTAAATAATCGAATCTGGACCAGACAATCCGTTGATTGACATCAAGAGCACCGATCTACGCAATTGGGATACGATGACATGCATCAACCACGTCATCGAGCCTGACCATCCAATCCCGTTAGTCGCCTCTTACGACAAGCCTAGTCGGTCGCCTTTTACAGCAAGCATGGGTTGCTGAAGAACTATTCCAAGCCGGATCTTCACGGGTCTCATAGCATTGTGAAACATTGTCACTCAGGTGAAGCAAGAAGAATACATTGTAGTGTTTCTAGATGTAGGCATAGCAACATCGGTTGCAGTAATGGTAGTGTTGCTGGTTGTAGCACTGGCGGCGGTTGTTGCAGTAGCGTTGCTGGTTGTAGCACTGGTGGCGGTTGTTGCATTAATGTTGCTGGTTGTAGCACTGGTGGCGGTTGTTGCATTAATGTTGCTGGTTGTAGCACTGGCGGTGGTTGTTGCAGTAGTGTTGCTGGTTGTAGCACTGGTGGCGGTTGTTGTAGTAGTGTTGCTGGTTGTAGCACTGGCGGCGGTTGTTGCAGTAGCGTTGCTGGTTGTAGCACTGGTGGCGGTTGTTGCATTAATGTTGCTGGTTGTAGCACTGGTGGCGGTTGTTGCATTAATGTTGCTGGTTGTAGCACTGGCGGCGGTTGTTGCAGTAGCGTTGCTGGTTGTAGCACTGGTGGCGGTTGTTGCATTAATGTTGCTGGTTGTAGCACTGGTGGCGGTTGTAGCATTAATGTTGCTGGTTGTAGCACTGGCGGTGGTTGTTGCATTAATGTTGCTGGTTGTAGCACTGGCGGTGGTTGTTGCAGTAGTGTTGCTGGTTGTAGCACTGGTGGCGGTTGTTGTAGTAGTGTTGCTGGTTGTAGCACTGGTGGCGGTTGTTGTTGTAGTGTTTCTGGTTGTAGCTCTGGTGGCGGTTGTTGCAGTAGTTTTGCTGGTTGTAGCACTGGTGGCGGTTGTTGCATTTATGTTTCTGCTTGTAGCAGTGGCGGTGGTTGTTGCATTAATGTTTCTGCTTGTAGCAGTGGCGGTGGTTGTTGCTGTGGTGTTGCTGGTTGTAGCAGTGGCGGTGGTTGTTGCTGTGGTGTTGCTGGTTGTAGCACTGGTGGTTGTTGCTGTGGTGTTGCTGGTTGTAGGTGATGTATCGGTCATTGCAGCTATAGAAGTGTCAGGGTCGGAGTATAGAGCGCTGGTTATGACCTCAACATACAAGCTAATTTCTATCATGTAATTTTTCGTATTCATGGCGTCATATTTTCCGTGAGCGTTAGAGACGCAATAGTTTGTTTCCTAAAATGCTTTCAGCGAATGCGAAAACCTTGAATTACCTTCAATGATATTTTTTTTTATTGATGTAAACCAGCATTGACACTGCTCGAGAATGTATGTATGTATGTACATCAGACAATTGTGTGTTTGTGATTCCAACATCCAACTGTCAACAACGCTAGCAGGTGTCTGGGTGTAATTGCCTGTACATCATGACACAGCTGGATCCTGTTTTATGACATGTTTCTCAAACAGAAATGTGCCTGTCATGCATAGATATGTCTCTCGCTAGGTTTCATGGGTACGCTTTTCATCACAAACATATCATCATAGATTTCTATGCGATTATGTTTACGACCATAAAAACAAGAAACTTGTATTGTTACATTACATGACTGACTATGCCATGTGAAGTATGTTCAATACAAAGGTACAAAACAACGGCGTGACTAAACCAACGTAAACTGTAGGTAACACTTTCAGGCAGAATCTAACCACTGTTTATGCATTACACCCAGCACACTGATCTGGTGATCAAAATGATGGTTAAAGGGTCAGGCCAATCGACATTTTATCTAAGACATTCAAAACCTTCTTGTTTGTCTGTTATATCCAACTGGATGATGTAATTCAATCTAGCCATGTTATTAAATGCTTGTCACAGTTTAACCCGTCGTAATTACTACATCGTGTAGACATGACAAGGTTTATTATGGATAACTTCTCTATTATAGTGTACAAACACAACGTTTCAACGTTACGTCTTGCCGATTCGTCAGGTTTCACTTGTAGAAGGTCAAGAAAAAGCAATGAAACGTTGTGTATGTACAACGAAGAAGTTGTTATCTATAATAGACCTTGTCCTGTGTACATCCAATACACAATACTGTATGACAAGAGGGATGACTTCAACTTTCCAATAATCAACTTTTCCTCTATGGCGAGCAATATTCAAGCAGCTCCAGCCTTTGGTGTCTACATTTCACAACTTTTGAGTTACAACCGAGCGCTTTCAACGAAGATTTCAAAGAGCGTCCTGCGACATTTGCTCAAAAGTTGTTTGATCAAGGTCACAACATTCAAGGCTTCAGAAAAGCTTTCAAAAAGTGTTATGGTAGACATGTGGAGGACATTTCAAAATTTGACGCATCAGAGACAAAAATGATGCAATTTCCTTTTTTGACTTGTACCATATTTTCACATAGCTTGTCAGGTGAACAACTGACTTGCTTTTGCATGTGTTTGTGACGGGTGCCACCGGTGCGTCAGGGTACGCTCACCTCTTCGCGAACACCTGGTATCATCACTATTTGATGGTGATTCATTGGTCATGTTTATTAAATGGTCGGAATGAAACAATCGACTCTGCTTTTGGCAGGAATTTCCTATTGAATGTATGGAAAAGGTTTTGTCCCTTTTCCAGTTGTAACACGATATTTCACAAAAAGCAGGGAAATATTTTGTATTTTATAAATTTTATGAAATATATTTGTACCATTTCTAAATCTATTTCTTTTGTGGACGCAACTGGGTTTTTTCATATAATGGTAGAGACACCCTTGCAAAATGTATTCTGAACATGTGCTACATGAAGTTGTAGGTTCGCAGTCGTGTTAAGAAGATCCACACCAACATAGTTTTACTGTCTGGCTTACTATTTAACATGACATGACAACACAATGTTTAGTCATGTGTCATATCATGTCACGTCTTTGTCATGTCATGTCACATCAGGGATTGATGATAACGAAGCGTTTATAAACGTTGAACTTAAAAAACTATCAAATTCTTGCGAATAGTTAAAAAATAATCGTCTTTGGCTAACAATTCACTATTTTCTAGACATACAGAAACCATTTTTTTAATTTAAAACCCGTACCAAACATATCTTTTTACTATTTTCCGAAACAGCATTTCTTCTTACTACCTATAGTGGTTACTTAAAACAAACGATTTGTCTTACCTGTTGACGTAGGGAGAAATACTCTTGAATTCAAATTAAAATAATCTATCTAGCTGACTAAAAAGAACGTGCACAACCTTGTTGAAATGTTATCGTACCTTACGTAATGCTAATGTTATCAACCACTGGCTTTCCTGACTCAGATAGTATATCGTGATATACTGGAAGTGTTAATGACAACGGTGTAAAATAACCGTCACTCAACAATTGTACCACTACCAAAATACGTATATCAACATTAAATGACGTTTCTTCTTTGAGAGGCATTTAAAAGGTGGGCTATATTAGTATACTTAGTAAGGATAAGATATATGGATGAACAACGTCTTTATTACGGAACGTTGCTCCTAATTACGATAAAGAAGGTGTTCATTCATATATCTTATCCTTGCTTATTAAATGATGTTCATTAAAACATATCGGAAGCATGAAGTCCAAACACACATACCACTGATCGGAAATAGATAAGCTTATAGATACCACATAATCAGCTAGATACTTAATATGTAATAAACATATGCAATAAGGCTTATTCAAATAAACATTCCAAATATCACTTAAAAATTCAATTTGTGTTTTCCTCCCATGTCTACAGACGCAGAGATTTAATAGAAGTGCTGCTAGTTGGAACTTGTTATCAGCTTCTTAACATATTTGCACTCTTTCGTGTCCGAAAAACACTTAAAATAATAAAATTGAGAGGGGGTTAAGTCTTGGGAAAATAACGCCTAGGGTTATCCCGTCTCTCTCAGACAAAGATGGCCACTAAATGGTATACCGAGAGTTGGGGAATTTTAAATAATTAGCACGTCTTTAGCAATACTTTGACTTCTTGTTGCCATTAGGAGATATTACTTACTTAAGCCCTGGTGTATCCAATTGCCAGGCAGTGTAAACAGAGAATAGTTCAGCATGTTGAATGTTACACCGCAGGAAGTCATTCACATCAGGAAAAGACACGTGTGGAATATTAACAATGGTTGTAAGTTTGGTTGGTTGGTTGGTTGGTTGGTTTGGTTGGTTGGTTGGTTGGTTGGTTGGTTGGTTGAGTGAGTGAGTGAGTGAGTGAGTGAGTGAGTGAGTGAGTGAGTGAGTGAGTGAGTGAGTGGGTGAGTGAGTGAGTGAGCGAGCTTTGGACTTGAACTATCATAAAGTACAAAGCTATGGTCAAAATACAAAATACATCATGACGTTATTACGTGTGACGGACACAAAACATTTGATGAAAAATCTCCCCCAAACAATTTCTTATTCATTATTTTATAAAATCATATATAAGTCACGCCTTTGAAATTAATATTTTTATAAGTGCGAAACGTGAAAAAAAAGAGATAAAATAAAATGAACTGAATAATTTCAACAATATCAGAACAATCTTTGGTTCAATACGGTATGAACAAATTAGTTATTTTCTTGTAACAAGTGAAACTACATTCCTCCAGTTGTTGAACTGCTTGTGTAAATACATGTAATGTATGGCAGCTGGGTTCTGTCATGGCTGGTCGGTGTTTAAATGTATGTGTTTGTTGTCTGTTCTTCAGAATCTATTGATTTGCACTTTCCAACATCGTATATGAGTCGGAACGAATCCGTTCAGCAGCGGGGAGCTGATTACAATCGACAAATCGTGTTTGTAGTCCATGTAAAATTCAGCTCATACGATTATGTTGTGAAACAAGTACTGACTGATTCGTATTATATTGATAATCAATATCACTTTGAAGCAGTTGTGATACTTAGTGTAGAAAGTACAACTAGCGCTACGACTTATGTTGCTGTATACTATAAATACTTCTGCGTCTATAGCACTAAACTACTGCTACTACTAATACTACTGCTACTACTACTACTACTACTGCTACTACTACTACTGCTACTTCTAATTCGACTACTACTACTGCTTCTGCTACTACTACCACTACTAATACTACTACACATGCTACTATTAATAATGCTACTACTACAACTACTAATGCTACTACTACTATTACTGCTGCTGCTGCTGCTACTACTACAAATGCTACTGCTTCTACTGCTCCTACTTATACTACGACTGCTACAACTAATGCTACTACTACTACTACTGCTACTACATCTACTACTTGCACTACGCCTTGTACACCCACTACTACCTCCACTACCGTCATCACTACCTCGACCATGTCTAGTACCACCACTACTACAAGCTCTACCACAAGTAGTATTTTACTACAATCCGAGCGGGGATGAAACTTGATGGTGGTGTGTCGTTAAAATAGTTAAAGAATAAGAAATAAGCATGATTAAAATGAAGTGTACTAATCGTTCCTATAAAATTGTATTAAACAAAAAAACTAACCAGATTTAACCACCGCTTAACTAACACTATGGACAACGGGTGCCGGCCACTGATGTGATCTCATACACATGATACAGGAACAGATAGACATGCGAGTTTAACACATCCGTGGTTGGTAATCACAGCAATTACTGTCACTGTCAGTGAGGGGGCTACACGTGGACGAGGCATTACATCTGTGGGTTCAAGGATGCTTACATAGACTTGACTAAGTCTCTAAGGAACTTAAATCTAATACATATTAACAGTTAAAGTTTTAAAAATATAACAGTACTGTTCTAAAACATTACATGTTAATTCTTTTTATTATATATATTAATAAAAATCTAACGTTAATAATACTTTTAATTAACAATTACATTTATTAAATTATTAGTTATTTTTGTTTTTAAAATATCATTAAGTACAAAGATAAGGTCAATACGTGTGACGGATCCCAAGATGAAAACTCTTCCCCCAAGTTTCAAATTTATTACTTTAGAAAATCATATGTTGTCACTCCTTTGAAATTATATATTTATAATTCCGAAAGGTGAATAAAAGAGATAAAAGGAATTGTTGTGACTATTTTATTTCTTTTAAAAGACCCATCTAGACTTGCTCAATAACAGACTCAATAACCTGGAAAGTGACACGGCCTTTAGGGCTCATTCTGACTGTACTGTCCACTATGACCGAGCAGGCAGCAATGTGCCTTAACATTATAATAAAATGATTACCTGCATTTATATATTTCTGTTTTTGTTCTGGCGTAAAGGTACTTGGAGAGAGTGAAAAGGGGGTTGATGTGTCCATTTAAAAAAGCAGCCTAGAGTGTTTTGCATATATAATATTCCAGTCAGTGGGCAAATTTAAACAAGTGGTGGACTGCATGAGCATCGATCCACGTCTTCAGGACACGACACAAGGTCGGATATTGTGACTACACGACCCTCATTTTAGCCGAAGAATGCACGTGCAAAATGTGCGGTTGGGCTTGATGTATTTACAGGCTAAATTGACCGGTCTAAGCGCAGGCCTATAGAATGTTGGTGACGAAGCTTCAGCTTCTGATTTTGAAGGACGAGTTATGACATGGTCTTTCTTTGTGCCATCGTCAACACGTCATAGTTATGTATACACTGCGTTCGTTCGTTTGTTGTTTAACGCCGCACAATATTCCAGCTATATGACGGCAGTCTGTAAATAATCGGGTCTGGACCAGACAATCCCGTGATTGACATCAAGAGCATCGATCCACGCAATTGGGATACGATGACATGCATCAACCAAGTCAGCGAGACTGACCACCCGATCCCGTTAGTCGCCTCCTACGACAAGCATGGGTTGCTGAAGAACAATTCTAACCAGGATCTTCACGGGTCGCGATCGTTTGTAGTGCATACGAGGCCGTGAAGTATTTACGATGCTTTTCTCCACCTAATATTGGCAAAATGATTCAAGTCTTATTCGTTTACCACTTTGGTGAAACCCGCTTTTAAGGTGCTAATAAACCTAAAAGTATAATCATAGCGAATCTGATTCGAACCACGAACGCAGGCAGAGTTGCGTCCCTTGGGTACGCCAGAAACCTATGATCGTGGGTTCGAATCCCGATTATGTTTCTAGGTTTGTCAGCACCATACCCGTGCTCGTGGGTTTCACCGAAGTGGTAAACGTCCGAGACCTGCATCACTTCGGGCTTTCCTCCCACATTAAGCTGACACGCCGTGATATATCTGGAATACTGTTAAAAGCAGCGTTAAACCCAACTCACTCACGCACTCACTCATAAAGTAAGGAACCCCATATGATGAAACTGTATTGCAACATGATAACAATGGTATGTGTATTAGACTAAGTGTTATATATTTGTGCCCGAAGGCCTACTTCAAAGCACCAGGTGACACTCGATGTCTGAGAGGTATATAAGTATGCTCGCCTTTCGCCGTGACTATCTCTCCATCTACATATCTCCACGAATACCCCCGCGCTATCACCTCCCCGGAGCAGGTGGTCACCAGTGCTGGGGAAAGGTCAGAATACAAGCACCATACAAGCCGTGTAATAGTGTTAACCTGATACTGACCGCTGTCGGGGTTGGTGGGAGTGTATGTGTTGTACTTAGCTGTTAGCACTCATCCGACTGTCGGATCAGACTCGTTGACCACCATGTTGGTGAGAAGACGAAAGCACGGAAAGAAAGCACGAAGGACGGACCTTTGTTCATTAAACCTGTCTTCACGAAATATTGTCTCTACAAAGTAGACACAATTTATGGATAACAACTTCTTTAATACCGTAAAGGCCTTTACACTATAAAAGAAGTTGCTATCCATAGGCTGTGTCCACTTTGTCATCCGTCAACTTCTAAGTAGTGCCTATCAAACATTTCAATATTGTCTTTGTTGTTTAACACACTATTATCAAGTGTAGAATTGACAAGTTTCCGATTGTTGATCCCGTTAGTCGCCTTATTACAAGCATGGTTTGCTGAAGACCTATTCTAACCCGGATCTTCACGGGTTCAATTGACGTAATCTTCAGCCCAATCCAAACTTACTTGCCTGTGATATCGGGTCAATGGAAAACGAATGCATGCCCTCAGTGACCGGTTACCAACATCACGGGAAAAATAGAAACGTTAACTCTACTGGCGTTCCGCAGGTCTTTTCTGAGTAGAGTGGCAGTCACGAAGCGATGGCGTATTGTGGCAATCAGAAGAAACCTTCTCTTTGGGTAGTGGAACGCTGTCGTTCACCTGCTTGACGCTGGGTAATTGATCAACACGTCTGGTATCGATTCCATGCCCTGCTGATCACACTTAAGCTGACCCCAAAGACGTTTGAATGTTGACCCAGTTTCAAGCATGCCTATGCATTTGTCAAATTCTTCCGTCATCAAATAACGTCTTTGACATTGTAGGGGCGTAAGTGCATTGAGTTGTTGCAGTCATTAGTAGCAAATGTTGTGCTCTCTGATAAAGTTGGTTGGTTGGTTTGTTGTTTAACGCCGCACCTGCAATAATCCAGCTATATGACGGCGGTCTGTAAATAATCGAATCTGGACCAGACAATCCACTGATTAATATCATGAGCATCGATCCACGCAATTGGGATCGATGACATGCATCAACCAAGTCAGCGAGCCTGACCACCCGATCCCGTTAGTCGCCTTTTACAACAAGCATAGTCAACTTTTACGGCAAGCATGGGTTGCTGAAGACCTATTCTACCCCGGAATCTTCACGGGTCTCTCTGATAAAGATGTGCAACGATTCTGTCACGATTCATCCAAACCCACGTCTTCTAGCACCTGGTGCACATTATGCCCAGCACTGCATGCCTCTGTCCGTTCATCATGACAGTGAGGCCCTGCAGGGGTTACCCAATCATTGTGCGCCAGGATATTTCAATCTTTATTTGTTGGAGGCTGTTTTTGATATCATCAAAACATTAACCTTAGCAAACTTTGAGTAGTATATACTAACTCGCTTGTTGGAATCCCTTGGAGGTTCACACAACGGTTGAGTGTGGTGGGTCGAGGCTTTCTCAGAACACGTGAGTGTGTTCCACTCTCCGTCCGATCAATTGGACGCGGCAGTTGGGATAATTGCCGTTTGATGCAGGTGTTGTCTGTAGCGGCAAACGCCGCGGTGATCAGTGCCGACCACAGGGAAGGGGGTCATTCTGACTGTGTCTTTAAAACATATGAAAGTATTTACGTAGAAACATATATGTAGTGATGCGATATAACCTAAATACGCTCCTGCCGTATACAAACAACAAAAGCAATTGAGAAAAAGTCGTTTTATTAACTGGTTCATATATTGAAAACATAGAATTTCTCAGTGAGCAACCTTTCTGTGTAGTTTAAGCAAAGAATTTAGGTAAAGAATGCATGGTAATTTTGTCGAGGAATTGCTTGGTAGTTTTAGCGAAGGAATGTATTGTAGGCTGGCAAAAAATGCATATTACAGTCCGTTTGCGCTGTTCCTCCTACGGTTGTGCCTCCCTCCATTCAAGATGTCAACTTGTACACTTAACAACATGATAGTTTCTGAAACAACTTTTTCCAGTGATGGAAATAATAATAATAATAACAAACAGCAGATATTGTCGGGTATATGGTATTCATTGCCGTTTACCGTATTGACATTTAAACAACTATTCCCGATTTTGTTTATTTTGCAATACATTGTTCTCATTTGGAGCCAAACGGACTGTAGTTTAGGCAAAGTACTTAGGAAAGAATAAATGGTAGTTTGGCGAGGAATGCTTAGTAGTTTAAGCAAGGAAAGCATGTTAGTTAAGGGAAAGAATTTAGGCAAGGAATGCGTTTTAGTTAAGGCAAGAAATGCATGTTGGTTTAGGCTCTCAGTGCAAGGAAATCCGTCGCAATCCGGACAATCGGGATAGAACTAATATGGAAGTCGTATTTTCTACCGGAAACATCTACGATTGATTTCTGGCTCTGAACAAAATCGTTCACAGTGCATTTACAAATGAAGGCACAAGGATGAGGAACAACTTTTATCATTTTCCCTAAAATGAGGAATAGTTATCAAATATCCAATAAATTTCTACTAATTCGTATACATACCATGCGAGTTTTTTTAAAACATTTCCTTCTAATTCTAACCAAACATGATAACCAAACTGCCTTCGTACGACAGATAGATGGAGTACCATCCACACAACTCAAGACGAATCGGAAGTCGGGCGAGTGTAAACTGGACTTATTGTTTTTACAAACAGAGGTGATTGACATGTAATTTGCAAGGCGTATCAGTCTGACAAGGTGTGTTTGACTTCCAAGCGGTTATTACTGTCTCACCCCCGACTCCGCCAAGCTGCTACTTGCTGTATACCTACCAACTGTAATAATAACGGCATCACCGCACGCTAAAGGCCAGGGAAGCCCCGCAACCAATGTTAACATTATCAGAGCTGATCAAGGAACAACAAACATTTAACCACACACGGCCTTGTGCACATTTGTCTGATTGTGGTGACGTTATTGTCCATTAACGTCATATGACGGAACAGGGTCGGTCTACAGACGTGTTCTGTTCACGCTGCGGGCAGTTATGGGAAGTGACTCATTGTGCATGTAGGTCTTTGTGCTAAACTCAATCTCTGTGTCAGTGTCAGTCTCGTTGTCAAACTCTATCTGTGTGTCAGTATCAATCTGTGTGTCAGTCTCTATCTGTGTGTCAGTCTCAGTCTCGTTGTCAGACTCTATCTGCGAGTCAGTATCAATCTGTGTGTCAGTCTCTATCTGTGTGTCAGTCTCAGTCTCGTTGTCAGACTCTATCTGTGAGTCAGTCTCGTTGTCAGACTCTTTCTGTGAGTCAGTCTCGTTGTCGGACTCTATCTGCGAGTCAGTATCTATCTGTGAGTCAGTCTCTATCTGTGTGTCAGACTCAGTCTCGTTGTCAGACTCTATCTGTGTGTCAGACTCAGTCTCGTTGTCAGACTCTATCTGTGAGTCAGTCTCGTTGTCAGACTCTTTCTGTGATTCAGTCTCGTTGTCAGACTCTATCTGCGAGTCAGTATCTATCTGTGAGTCAGTCTCTATCTGTGTTACAGACTCAGTCTCGTTGTCAGACTCTATCTGTGAGTCAGTCTCGTTGTCAGACTCTTTCTGTGAGTCAGTCTCGTTGTCAGACTCTATCTGCGAGTCAGTATCTATCTGTGAGTCAGTCTCTATCTTTGGGTCAGACTCAGTCTCGTTGTCAGACTCTATCTGTGAGTCAGTCTCGTTGTCAGACTCTTTCTGTGAGTCAGTCTCGTTGTCAGACTCTATCTGTGTGTCATTTTCAGTCTCGTTGTCAGACTCTATCTGTGAGTCAGTCACGTTGTCAGACTCTTTCTGTGAGTCTGTCTCGTTGTCAGACTATATCTGTGTGTCAGTCCCGTTGTCAGACTCTATCTGTGTGTCAGTCCCGATGTCAGACTCTATCTGTGAGTCAGTCACGTTGTCAGACTTTTTCTGTGAGTCTGTCTCGTTGTCAGACTATATCTGTGTGTCAGTCACGTTGTCAGACCTTTTCTGTGAGTCTGTCTCGTTGTCAGACTATATCTGTGAGTCAGTCCCGTTGTCAGACTCTATCTGTGTGTCAGTCCCGTTGTCAGACTCTATCTATGAGTCAGTCACGAAGTCAGACTCTTTCTGTGAGTCAGTCTCGTTGTCAGACTCTGTCTGTGTGTCAGTCACGTTGTCAGACTCTATCTGTGAGTCAGTCCCGTTGTAAGACTCTATCTATGAGTCAATCACGATGTCAGACTCTTTCTGTGAGTCAGTCTCGTTGTCAGACTCTTTGTGTGAGTCAGTCTCGTTGTCAGACTCTATCTGTGTGTCATTTTCAGTCTCGTTGTCGGACTCTATCTGTGAGTCAATCACGTTGTCAGACTATATCTGTGTGTCAGTCCCGTTGTCAGACTCTATCTATGAGTCAGTCTCGTTGTCAGACTCTGTCTGTGAGTCAGTCACGTTGTCAGACTCTATCTGTGAGTCAGTCCCGTTGTCAGACTCTATCTATGAGTCAGTCCCGTTGTCAGACTCTCTCTCTCTCTCTCTCTCTCTCTCTCTCTCTCTCTCTCTCTCTGTCAGTCACGTTGTCAGACTCTGTCTGGGTTTCAGTCACGTTGTCAGACTCTATCTGTGCGATAGTATTATTCTTCTCTATTTCTGTTTCGGTTGATATATGTTAGTCTCTACCACACTCGATCTCTTCTCTGTCTCGATCTGTTTTAATTCAACTACAGCCTACTCTCCACACACCGCCACACACATTATACATATTCGACTTAAGCTTATAATAATTTGTCAAATATCGTTATTAAAACCACCAAAGAGTACCTACTTGCTTCATATGGCAACAGGATGAAGACCCCTTACCACGTCAATCTGACCCACCCACATACACTGTAAGACGCGGGGCTGCCCAATATGTCTGGTAGTCTGTGGCCGTCAATATTTACTCTGTGTGTACTGGTGTTGTAATCAAGGGGGAGAACTGATGCTAAACAACTTGGGTATCAGTCATTACAAAAATAAGCAGCGTCCGGGTACGACATGTATGTGGGTATTGTTTATTTTTGGTAATGACTGATACTCAGTTTGTAAGACATCTACATCTGAAAGATTCGAACAGCGATCACTGTGTGTTGGTATGAGTTACCTGTCCGATCTTTTAAGTGAGGTGAAATGGGGTTTAACGTCTCGTCCAAGATTACTGCACTTATATAGCGACGTGCATGAACGTGTGTGTTTGTGTGGCTTTTTGTACTAGTCCGGAGTGGTGCCGATTTATAGTGCTCGCCCACTGAGATACCATGTCGCAGTTTAACATGAATACCCCACTCAGACACAGTATACTGACTCCGAGCCGACCAGTCCTTGTTTTAGCCCTTTAATGCCGTGCGCCAGAGAGGGTAACAACAAGTACCATCTTTTAACGTCTTTTGGTATGACGCGTCCGGGTATCGAACCCCGGACCTTCCAATATTTAGGGGCAGACGCTGAATAATAACAGTCAAGTAGACATACATGTCGGAGGGGTGATCATGCCGTAAAAGGCGACTAAGCTTGTCGTAGGAGGCGACTAACGGGATCGCGTGGTCAGGCTCGCTGACTTGGTTGATGCATGTCATTGTATCCCACTTGTGTAGGCCGATGCTCAAGTTATCAATCACTGGATTGTCTGGTCCAGACACGATTATTTACAGACCGACGCCATAAAGCTGGAATATTGCTGAGTGCGGCATTAAACAACAAACAATACAACAAAATAAATATTATTGAGAGGGAAGTCTCTGGTGAGTTGTTCTCCATAGATGAACCTGGGCAACGCAGAGAAACGCAATGGCCAAACGATCGCATCCAAAAGCGTGGGAGAGACACAAATACTCGACGTGAAAATTGTGAGAATATCCGGGAAATACCTTAGGCCCTCCTCTTCCTCTCATTTTATCATATTCTTATACATTTTTTACATCCTTTAAAAGGCTGTACAAAATGTTGATGTCTGATGTAAGGAATAATCCATTATGTCGTTCAAGAACCCTTTGTTCGCAGACTGAGGTAACATCGGTTTCCACACAGGTTCGAATCCATTGCATACAGATCAATCGTGTCTGTATGTGACCTTATTAACTGTCGTCATTTACTCTTCTTCCGTCATGGTTCGGTGGGGTAGCCTAGCTAAGTCACGCCGAAGGCCCGGGCACGATTCCCCACATGAGTACAATGTGTGATGCCATTTTCCGACCAGATGTCGAATATTAAAACAAATGAAGTTCAACGTGAACGCGCAGCTTTTTCCTAAAGGGCGATAACTATTTTTGTCATTGTTAAACTTCGGTCGTTAATATTACTGGTTCCTGGTTGAGTGTGCGCTGCGACACTTTGTGAGAACTAGACACCCTCCTTTGTCAATACCCAGTGGGAATTCTGGTTCCAGGTTCCCGGTTCCAGCAACCTCTACTTGTAGTAAGAGGCGACTTCATGGATCGGATGGTCAGTCTCGTTGATAAGGGTGATTGCAGGACGGGGCGGGACGTTCCTCTCACCGCTAGTCCGACTGGTCCAGACTCCAATATTTACAGGCCACTGAATACTGCTGACTATGACGTTAAACAACATTCACCTCTGAGTAATTATTTTCTCTAAATCTCATATAATGTTAGGGGACACGGGTGGCCCAGTCGTCTAAGGCGCTGCGATTCGCTGTGCAGAGTTGCGTCCCTTGAGCACGCCAGAAACCTATGATTGTGGGTTCGAATCCCGGTTCGCCCCGATTATATTTCTAGGTTTGTCAGCACTATACCCGTGCTTGTGGGTTTCACCGAATTGGTTAACGTCTAAACCTGCATCACCTCGGGCTTTCCTCCCACATTAAGCTGAAACGCCGCGATATAACTAGAATACTATTAAAAGCGGTGTTAAACCCAACTCACTCACTCATATAATGTTAAAATGTGTACTTCACAACATTTCCCTTGCCTTTTGGGCTGAGTAAGCCCTCCAGTCAGAAACACTATCATTAGGTGATTGGGGTAATCTCCTCTCCCTAGGTTGTATATACACATACACCATTACAGAGGATCTCCTGACAGTCTTGTAACCCTATCGGTGTTTATCTACAGGAAACACACATAATTCTCTCCAGGAACCTTGAAGATTTCCTCACGAATCGTACCCAGATGGTAGATATCGTACATTGTCCCTACACAGGCAACAACAGTGGTGCTATTTCCAGCATGCAACCCACGTATTGCGATATACGGCAGACTTGGGTAAATATTTAGATATGAAAGATGACGTTGGTATGCTACATCTATAAATGTTTAGTTATGCCAGATTAACTTGCTATATCCCGTCGATGATATTTAGCTGATACTGTTCTTCCCTGTTATTATCATTGAGTCATAACCAGTGTACCCCGGGAAAGGACACAATCGCCGAGGCCAACACCCAGGGAAATAGTCAAGTTCTCACCAGGAGAGACGCTCTTTTAACTTGATGGATTCGTGGTTAAAATGCGCTTTAGATTGGTCGCTTTATACACACCAATATCTAGAGACGGATCCTAGTGTAGATGCTCTATATGTAGCAATATCAACAGGGGGATCCAAGTGAAGATGCTCTGTATGTTCCAGTATCAATAGGGGGCACGGGTAGCCCAGTCGTATAAGGCGCCGCGATTCGCTGTGCAGAGTTGCGTCCCTTGGGCACGCCAGAAACCTATGATTGTGGGTTCGAATCCCGGTTCGACCCGATTATGTTTCTAGGTTTGTCAGCACCGTACCCGTGCTCGTGCGTTTCACCGAAGTGGTAAACGTCAGAGACTTGTATCACTTCGGGCTTTCCTCACATATTAAGCTGAGACGCCGTGATATAACTGGAATACTGTTAAAAGCGGCGTAAAACCCAACTCACTCCAATATCAATATAGACGGATCCCACTGTAGACGTTCCATATACTCAATTGAAACATTTCGATCTGGACGAAGCGCACGGTGTTAGGAGCAATTTGAACCGTTATAATTCTTCCTGAAAACGAAGAAAAAGAAGAAGAATAGTAGTAGTAGTAGTAGTAATAATAATAATAATAATAATAATAATAATTAAATGGTCTATTGCTAAAAGCGGCGTAAAACTATACTCACTCACTGAGGTGCGTGAATCTTGTGTTTGCGCCGTATACACATCGACATCACAGCAGCCTGAAGATACTTGAGCCTGGACCAGACAAACCAGTGGTTGCTTAGTCAGCACGACCTGATTCCCAGATTATTTAAGCTTATATAGCCAGCAGTGGGTAATGTAGACCTTTAATGCGCCGGTTGGTGTCGTCTTTAACCACTTGACTCACTTACCAGAATAAACTAAACCTTTCAGCAATATCACAGCGGGGACACCAGAACTCGAACCCGATCCACCAAGCGGATCCATCACGCACCACTGTGCCACCCCCGACCTGAATGAGCCCTGGCGTCTGTACAGCCACCGAGCACTACAAGACCTACATCTGTCTTCACGCAGGTTATTTTCTCTTGGCGCCATGGCTGGCTGATTTACACAGGTAGTTGTAGACGTATATCGTAGCATCGTCTGCAACATTAACGTCCTCCACATCAACACGTCTAATTAAAGCACATCGTTAACTCGCTCCCGAGACTGATGTTGATGGGTTGATACACTATGCGATGACAGTTAACGTTTTTTCTCCTAAAAGTCCTCGGCATTTGAAATAGAATTACGAAATATCGCGATGATTAATTAGCGAAGATAGCTGTATGTGTGTCAATACTTATAAAGTGAAAATAAACCATTGCGCTGATAAGGAATATTACTTCTATTACAGTAATGACAAACATTGCAAAGTGCGCTTTTACAGAAATGTCAAGTTTTTAGCGATAAACGTCATCATTGAGTTTTAATCACAAGGTTTCAATCCGGGTAAGAATCGACAGTCAGGTGACTGCGCGAAGTTATATTTTGCAATGACTTTGGTCTGCACGTGTTTTTCTTTAAGTTCATGCTGGTACATTCGTCACCACTCGCCCCTTTCCGTCACCTGCAAGAAGAGCGGGGCACGAGTCGCTATTCGGCTTGTCCCGGAATGACACGAGTTGGTCACGAATGGGTCACGAATGTGAGGATCGGCAGTCAGGTGACAACGAGCGACTATATTTGGGAGCGTGTGTGTATACAACGTACGTACATTACCAGCACCATTCGTGACCAACGGCCGCCTCATAACAATATACGCTAATTGATGGTATACTTGTTGTTACCCTGCCTGGCCGGCTCGTATTCAGTATCCTCACTCGGAGTGGGGTATCAATGTTAAACTGTGGCATTAATAACACGCACGCAGA